AGGGGGTATGGGGTGTGAAAGTCCTTCTGCCTGTTTTTCTAATGTTAAGGCCAGCTGTGGAAAACATTTATTTTTAACGTTTGACACATCCAAGGGTTCATTCATCAGTTACCAGTTGCTGTCTTAGCATGGTTTGGCAATCACTTTCAGGTTAGAAATTAGCATTGTTTAAAGGTATAATTTACCAGACTACAAATTTAGATGTAAGTGATAAAAATATTCCTTAAACATTAAAAACATTTGATGTGAAATTGATCCTTTGCAGACATTTTGGGGGAAGTGAAAACAGGAGGTTACAATTACAGAGTATTTTGTGATATTAACTTTGATGGGTTGTTTGCTGCCAAGGAAGAGTAATATATCTCATTTGTTTACAAAAGCTGGGTGCCTTTTCAAATCTCATGAACTGTGGGTTCCTGTGATTTGCTTTTTTTTTTTTTTTTTTTTTTTTTTTCCTGTAGTTTAGTTGTTTGGATTTGACTTTCAATTATGTTACCATGAATACCTTTCTGTAAACAGTAGAATAGAAAGCATTCTCCTCCCTGTGCAGTGGGAAGAAAATTTCACAGAAGTCACAGTCAGCTATACTTAGACATTGCTCCATTAAGAAAACCATTCTGCATGCAAGCTCCAGTTTTCTGGGTTACACTACTCAAAACATTCCAGCCTGTTGTTTTCAAACCCACTTCTCTCCTGCATTTTCTGTTTCTAAGCAATGTATGGAGAAAAAGGAATTTTTGGTTGTGAACCATCTTGTCCTGCTGAGGTGATTAATCATTATAGTTAGGGATTTCAGTGAAACAAGAGTTGAGATAACATGGAGAATTTTCAGAACATTTCCAAGTTTTCTGGTACACTCAGCTAAAGGAACTACTTCATGTGTGTGATCCAAATTCAAGACATTGTGAAAATTTGCAAATTCTAAGACAATTTCTAAGTGTTTAATATTTAGAAAGTATTAGTAATCAGTTTGTAATTGATTTTAAAAAGGAACCATTTAATGCTCTTATTAATGAATATATAACATATTAAGGAGAAAAGATTTTGTCAGCTCACCTGTAATATTAGACATAGCTAGATTTGGGGGTTTGCAATTATGAGGCCTTTGTATTGCTTCAGTGCCTTCTCTTAATTCTCTGATCCTGGATCCAAGCAGCAAAAGTTAATCAATTCACAGTAAGCCTGTAAGACAGTATGAAATATTTTATTCCAACACTACTAATCTGTCACTAGCTTTTCCATCTGATCTCTGTCTCCTCAGCTTTTAGCATGCACCATTCTTCTGTACACAGCAATGGCCATTTCAGCAGGTTGGGGCTGGGAATAATGAATTGAAACACCAAATCCTACTTGATTTAGAAGCAACACTTTTTTATTTTTTTTTTTTTCAAATCTGGGCAAATCAGAATCTAATATTTGAAGGCCAAAATAAAAATCTATAGTGATTCAACATACAAACCTAAGTTAGTGTGTGCTCTTCAGTGGACCAAGTACTCTGTACACCAATTGAATTAATTTATGAAAATTATACCCCCTTTTTTTGGAGCCTATATAGACTTAGAGGCAAATTCTAGAAATGTTTTATATATGTCAGTCAAAAACTCTAAAAATGTGAAAGCCTAATTCAACCTCCTAATCCAATCAGTTGCTATGGAAAAAAAATATTAATACAGCATATTTTCCAGTGTGTAGTCCAGTCCATTTTAATAGAGTTGAGTATTCCCTTTGACAGAGCATAATGCTGTCTCATACATAATGCTCACAGGAAGTTTTACCTGACACAGTTTCAGCACCTGTAGGTGAATTCTCTTGTTAGTCCTTTTTGCCTAATGGGAAATTAGTCTTCATGTTTGGGATTAAATTGTGGCTTCATTTTATTAGTAGAAAAGTTTCTGTTGACTTCAGGTTTTTACTCTTGATGGTTACATGCTTCAAATGCTTGTAGAAAACAATCATAGAATCATAGAATCATTAAGGTTGGAAAAGATCTTCAAGATCATCTGGTCCAACCATCACCCTACCACCAATGTCACCCACTATTGGCAATCCATCCTGTCCCTTACAAGTCCCTAGGATTCTTTTCCTGTTATCTCCTTAACTTTGGTATTTTCCCAGTTCTTCCTGATCTAGTGTAATTTGAAAATTTTATCTAAGTGCTACTTTGCCATTTTTCTGAATTGTAGCAGGTGTAGCTGGACAGAACCAAAATTAACTTTTTCCTTCTACCTGCTATACATGAACAAAAATTACGTGCCATTAACTTTGATACCTATACAAAAGCACATAACGCAGGGAATAAACAAAAGAACCATGATCTTGTTGGCATCACGGAGACCTGGTGGGATGGCTTCTGTGGCTGCAGTGTTGGAATGGGAGGATACTGGCCTTTTAGGAAGGACAGACAAGGGAGGTGAGGAGGGGTCATCACCTCTCCATATGTCAGTGAGCAGCTGGAGTGCATGGAGCTCTGCCTGGGGATGGGTTAGGAGCTGACAGAGAGCTTGTGGGTCAGGATTACAGGGACAGCAGGGACAGGTGACATTGTGGTTGGGGTCTGCTGCAGGCCAACCGACTAGGAGGACTAAATGGATGAAGCTATAGGAGAGCTATATAGAATATAGGAGCAGCCTCTTCAAAAAGAGTGTTTTGTCTTTGTCTCAAGTGACAGTGGTAAAATTTTTCCCATTGGAGCTTATATATATATTTTTTTTTGCATTTTTTAATATTTGTCTCCAGTCTGAATAGCACAAAAAATAAATCTACTTCCAATGTTCAGCAAATAAAACAACCCTGAAAAGAATGACGCTAGGCCAATTTGTGTTGAGGTTGAGTCTCTTAATCATATGTCACCTGGTCTGAAAATGAAATGACCAGGAGTAGTAATACAGTGCTTCACACTGAAATTGGACATTGGGGGAGGGAAGAAACATTCCCTCAGCATTTGTTGCCTTGCTGTCCATGAGCTAGGACACACTGCTGATTTTCACCAAGCCCGTGTCCCAAGGCATCATCCAAGACATGACCCTCTCATACCACCTCAGCGGGACCAAGAAAGGGAAACTGGAGCTGCCAGGTCTTTGCCCAGACTGATCTGTATAAAGCAAAGTGCTGTATTATATTGAAGGTAGTCATCAATATCTGCATCAGGCTAAATATTCAGTGTTTACCACTTGGTCTACTTTATACCTAACTTTAAGATAAGTCATCATGCTGTCATGCTCTCTCTCCTTCCTCCAAATGTTTGCACCGATTCTGCATGTGGCTGCAGCAAACCAGGTGGTTCCACTGAGGTGTTTACCCTGATAGATTCCCTGTGCTTTTGCATTGCTGCCTGCCTACACTCTGCTACAGGGCAAAGTCTTCTGTTCTTTGTTGTTGTGGGAGGACATAGAATCATAGAATGTCTTGGGTTGGAAGGGACCTTAAAGACTTTACAACCCAACCCCCCTGCCATGGGCAAGGACAGCTCCCACTAGACCAGGTTGCCCAAAGCCCCATCCAGCCTGGCCTTGAACACTTCCAGGGATGGGACATCCACAGCTTCTGGGCAACCTGTGCCAGTGCCTCACCACATAGCCCAAAAGGGACCTGGAAGTAATCCAGTTGTGTACTAAAGACATACATTCACTTCCCATCAGGTAACCATCAGGACTCAAACCTGAGGTCTCAGGCTTGGTATGGCCCCAAGGCCAGGTGAGGACAGGTGTTAGATGGTGGTAATATGAGGACAGGTGGCCTTGTTGGGGTCATGTCTGGGAGTATTTCAAACACCAGACCTTGGCAGTTCTGGAGTTCTCACAGGCATGTTGGGCCAAGGGCAGGTGATCCAAAGCCAAGGGCAAGGGCTTAAATGGGCAGAGCATTGTTATCTAAGAGTGGATGGCCGGTAGATCTGTGAGTAGATTCTCAAGAACCACAATCACATGTTCATGATGGCTTTCACTTTGGGTAGCAACATATGTGAGATGCTGCCTTGGTTTCCTTCATAGCATGGCAATTGCTTTGCACCTTACATCACCTTAGAGATGAAAAATCAAAAGTAGATAGGACACTGGCATACCTTAGAGATAACAAAAAAATCCTGTTCATGCAGTTAGGAAAACAGCATAAGCACTTGACTTATTTCAACAACACCAGATTCTTGCAGAAAATGGATCAATTTAAGTTAATTTTTGTTTCAAGTCTGGTGGTGGTCCACAGGATATGGAAGGTTACACTTGTATTCCTGGAGAAAACGTTCAAGGTTTGTTTCATTTTTGCTTTCTTTGTTGGTGTCTGATACTGAGCAATTCCTTTTATTAATTCTCAGACAGGTTTTCTTTCACATGGCTATGACAACCTGTGAATGTCATGCACATTTCTTTCCCTCTGCAGCAAGCACACTAGTAACTCTGGTACTACTCTACAGTCCCTTATTTTTTCTTCTGTAGCATTAGTTCTCATGCCCAGCAGCTGCCTGTTTATTTCTAGCACTGGAAAGGATTTCAAAATGTCTAAGACCTTGTGCCAGAAAGCTGTACGCCTTTTCCCTACTTGCAATATGAACTTGTACTTTACACATTCTGAGGTCAAAATGGGTTTAGGCTGTGGCAGAATGGACCTCTGTAAAATTGTAATGACAATAGCTCATATTTATATCAATGCTAACACTTGGTTTTATTATATTTTCATTGTAATAGCTCGTGTAGGTGAGTTATCTGAAGCCAGATATAGCTAACATAAGTCTGTTTTTACCAAAACTGCATCCAGAAAAGGATAATGCAGGCAGAAGCGCAGATTGATGACAAGGCTTGACCTATGTCAGACTGAGTCAATAGTCTTCACAGAATTGGAAAGAGAACCTCATCTGATGATTATGTGGGATCTCAATTATTTCTGAATCCTCTAATGCATCATATAAGATGACAAAAAAAAAAAAAAAAAAAAAAAAAAAAAAAGCCATGGCAAGAGCCAAACTGTTCCATACATTTTATGTTTAGCTTTCTGTTCGGCATTGAGTGAGCATAAATTAATAACATTGCCACATTCAAAATAATACTCATGCAATTGTTTAGGATCTATGATGATTCCAGAAAAAAAATAACATTCCTGTGTGTCTTTTGTAGCCTATAATGACTCTTGCTTCCTAAGTCTTTCTTTCTTGTTTCCACTTCTGAACCAAAACCATTTCTGAACTTATGAAAAGATTACCCATCTCTCCATGGAAATCATCTTTATTCCCAGTACAACTCTACCAGGTGTTTTAGCAATGTGGTACATTTAGTGATGGGTTTGCTGAGTTTTTTGGTAAACACTGTGAGGACTTGTTCTTTATGTCTTGCTTTTTCAAGTATGTGTAGTGTTCCCAGGAGTAAAACCCTATCTCCACTGGCTTTCACATTCATCTGCTTTTCCCCAGCTTGCCAAAACAGTTCAGTCTGGACCAAAGAATTTCTTTCTTACTTCCATGGACTGTTTTCACTTAAAGGACAGCTGTGACTGTTTTGATCAAACATAGACAGTATAAAAATCTGGGAAACAACCCACCAGTATACCTCACAATTGAACCATGATGTCTTTTTCAAGCATGTACTTTTCTTACTTTCAATAATATTTTACTTGTCCTGAAGGGACAGGCTGACTCATCCCCTCCACTAGCTGTCCCCAGAAGGAGAACCATCTGAGAAGTCCAGTACAACAAGGATTATACCTAGCTCTCAGCAGCTAAAGTTAGTGAGATTGTAGCTCCTCAAAGTACTGGATAGGATAAATGTGTTAGGGCAGTACGACAAAGTCAGAATCAGGGAACAAAATTAGAGGTCAAACTTGACTGTACTGATTGCATCCACCAGAATCACACCTGGAGGCTGAAGATAAATGCACCTGGATCTTCAGTGAGAGAGCTCAGAGTCTTTTTGGGCCTGGAACTGTAGCTAAGAAGTTGAGCCAAACTTGGCAAATGCCACATCACACAAATCAAATTTATTGAATCAGTACAGAGCTGTTACGGGAAAAAGAATAGGGAAGTCCTTGACTGCATGCCATCAGCTGGGAAAAACAGATCTAATCCAGAGATGTTTAATGATATGTATCTGGTTTTGTCACAGCCATGTATCTTTGACTGCTTTGCATTTGAGTTGCTTTCATCACTAGTAGGCATTCATCTGGTATTTCTGTCTTTCTTCTACACAAACAATAAACTCAACATTTGAATGGCTGTTAAACTTCCCTGAAATTTTGGTTTAAAAAAAGCAATTGGAATTCCACAAAACTGAATTAGAACTCCAGTGAGACAAAAAGTGGGAATTCCTTTATGTACAAAGTTGCTAAAAGTATACTTTCTAGTTCTGCTACTACCTTTAGCTTGGTATTAGGGGAATGGTTGGACCAAATGATCTTGGAGGTCTTTTCCAGCCTTAATGATTCCATGATATATTCTGTAGTAGTGTTACTTTAATTAATGTAATCAGGTGTATGTTTAACGATAAAATTTAGATAGAGGAAGACATTCAGTGCAAAGTGATCGTGGCCACAATGGTTTGGTTTGCATCCTAATAAATGTCCTGAAGAACCTGAACCTGAAACAGTACCAGCTCATGAGGAGAAGGGACTGCTGGTCCTCCCAAAGCAGAATTGTGCTAGAACTAGAATGTGGCCATCGTGAGCATGGTCCAGGTGTTCCTATACTCCATGCCCAATAGCAACCAGTTTGTAGCTTTTCAGACAAAAAGGTACCTTATACAGCTATTTTGGAACTGCACGTCAACACATAAGGAATGTTTGCAAGACACCCTTCTCCCTGTAATAATTACCACTGCATTGCTAAGCAGTATCAATCATTTCTAAAATATAAACATAGCTGTGCACAGATCTATGGATGTTAGGACAGCATCAACACTCCTCTGTAGAAGCCTAAAAGACAAATGACACTTTTTGTGCCCAAAACTGTGCAGGGCTCCAGTTAGTGAGAAAGAAAGAAAAGGGGAAGAGGAAAAAAAAAACAACAAAACCAAACAAACAAAAACACAAGAGAACTGATAGGAAGGTCTGAAAAGCTTTTATAGTTTTACTACACTTGAGAGGATCTCTGTCAGGGCCCTGAGGGCACCAGTAAATAGGTCTTAATGTCCCTGACCAGCCTCACCTGGGGTCTGCACCCACACAGGCTCTATTTAAGCTCAGGCCTGAAAGTATTTCCTTGACAGAACTCTGTTGGAGAAATGCTGGACTACTGTTACCCTTGATCTGAACCTTAACAACACACAGGTTGATTCCTTGGTTTGACCTGAGACCTGCCTGCTGATCACTGATCCTAATCCTGGCCTGTGGGTTGACTTCCTAGTTCAACCTTACCTCTGGGTTCTTGGTTGGACCTGGCCATTGTCTTTAGATTTGTAACTGCTACAAAAATTATGTGCTCTGGTGTGGGCCCTGGCTAGTGATGCTTCTGCCCTGGTGGCCATGAGATCCCCCTTGGCTTGTGTCTCACCTTCCTTTAGGGAGGAGCCCTGCTTTACCTCTTCCTGATCCTTTCTGGTAAAGGTGAAGAAGCTTCTAGTTGTACTAGTGTGCCAAAGTCTTTGTGCATAGGGTCCATCACAGAGGCAGTTGGGCTTAAACTAGAGTGCAAATGTCACAGTCTCAAAAAGAAGAAGGAAAGGAGATGCTACTGGAGCCTTTTGTAAGCTGTGAAGTGGGGGAAGCTATTTTTGAGTCTGATGCTTGCAAGAAGGGCTATGTTAATCGTTAATGCTGCACTTGCTCTTGCTGAGAGCTGTAATAGGAGGAATTGTCATCAGAACAGTAGTGGCTTGTTCAAGCAGGTAGATGGGCATGGGAAGACAAGCAATGGGTAGTAGATCAAGGAGTGGTTGATGATCTTCCTGGAAGAGATGGGCTAACAGAATGAGGAGCAATTTGTTGAGGAGAAACAGCTTACACCACCAAATGAGAGGCATCTTAAATCATGTCTTGATGCCAAGTTATGTTTGACATTCCCAAACTGCAGAGTGGTGTCCATGGTTGGGCTCCCAGCAGCTATTTCTCCAGAGGAGAGCACTCTGATACTTACAGCAGATGTACTTGAAGTAGGTGTTGTGCACCAGCCTGCTTGTTTTTTTGTTTTTTTTTTTTTTTGGGGGGGGGGGGGGGGGGGAGTTGGGGGGAGTGGGAGGGGAGGGAGAACAGGGAGAGAGGATGTTACCTTGTGGCCGGATGAGACTTCAGAGCATCCTGAATTTACTATTGTCTTAAAAAAAAGAGAAGGGATGAACACCTGAGTCATGGATCTGTCAGGCATTTTCACTGCTGCAGTTTGATCCTACTACTTTCCCACACCTATTTCTATGCTCCAGCCAGCTCTGCTGAGTATTGCTGACTAACTCTTACATGGGTGACTCAGAAGAATTCATACTGGTTTAGTATTTCACTATGTAATTATAGGGTAACAACATTTATTGATGTTGCTGCAATGCAAAGATACATGTATGTTCATTCTCCATATATTATCTCAGAACAAATGTTATTGCTACAAATGATGTTTCTGTACAAAGTCTTACAAATGTAGCTGTTTTCTCCTGCTACTGCTGTCCACTTTTACCTTCCAAGTAACTGTTTGTGCTTTATAAAATGAAGTGAATCCATTTGTGTTTTGCAAGTAACAGGATCATGTGTCTAGTAGAGGTCAGCTGTAGACATGACGCAAAACCATGGGAGTTGAGGAAAGCAGTTACACAGCAGCCACTGCACTATCTTAATGGTGACAGACATCAAATTTGATGTTTTGCCAAATGATTGTTCCAGACATTTTTGGAAGGAAGTGCCAATGACTGTCAGAAACATCGTCAGGAAGACAGAAATCTCCATCCAAGTGCTGGGAATGCTTGGTTATTCGTGGTAAACACATTAATAAAGGGAGTGTTAAAGGAGGTGACCTCAGTGCTGTGCTGAAATGAGCAAAAGGGTGAGGTGAAACCACTGTATTTGATGAGATTTATGCTTTGTTGTGGGATTTTGTTTGGGACCTTACAGAGCTACAGATGAAACCTTTCTTTCTACCTCCTGACTTTCCTTCCTCACTTTCTCCACTGGGTTGAATCATGTCTCTTGCTAGTCACTTATTCATGATGAGCATTTCATTCAGCTTCTGTTATGGGGGTTTAGTGAGGCCTGTCCCCAAACTTTCAGCTCTTTCCAACATCTTTGTTCTTTGTGAACAAGTGGATTAAATGCATTTTGTCCCACTGTTCCTTTACACAGTATGAAGCAACACTTATAGCTTCAACAGAGAGCTATGTCCCACCAGACCATTCTAAAACTTTTATCTACAGCCTAATCATCTTCACAGAGCACCCAGGAACTGGAAAATGCTTGAGGTACAAATGAAAACCTGGGTTCCGTGAGGTAACTCGTTTGTCAAAATGCAATGTATTATATTTGCCCTCAGATGAATTCGTATGTATTCCGTAGACCGTCACATTGCCAGGGAGGTTCTGGCAGTGCTGGTAGTAAAAATCCTCTGTATGGGTACAGACGTGGGAAAGATCTGCCAGTGATAATCTGATGTAGTTGATTCAATCAGAGCTCTACTGAATTACTATTCAGATCTTACCATCTCCCAAGAATACTTTCCTCCAGTTTTAGTAGTGACATTCTGTGGGATGCATGCAGCCCACCTGTTCAAAAAACAAAAAACATCTGAATTTCAGCCTTTGCATTGTTCAGCACTCTAATTTTGTGAAGCTGAGAGTCTTTCAGAGCAAATAAATCAATGCTCTAGTAAAAGTGAATTATTACCAGTCAGACTAGTTAATTAAATGGTGTTCGTCAGGTGGATATGTCTGTTTAGGTGTCTCTGTGCTTATATAGAAATTTCCAGACTTTCCTCATATGATAATAAGGAACTGGTGGCCTGAAGAGGAAAAAGCATTTCTTGAAATGTGTTCTTTTATTTAAAAAAAAACCCTGCAAATATTATATGCTAATCACTCATAATATAGATGTAATTCATTTTGAATGCATCTCTTGTGAAATGCACTAGACAAGTCTATTTTCAATTATTTAGTGAATGAAAAGTTTAATTATCAATATGAATTGTTTATAACCATGATTCGTGACCTGAAAAAGGGTATTTCATGGTTATTTATGAAAGTCATCATCTTCAATACTGTTTGCTGGTGCATTGTAGATCAGACTGGCAGCCTACTGAATATAGGCTGCAATTTAACAAAACTTCATAATATGTATATTGGCAGTATATCACAGAATCACAGAATTGTCTAGGTTGGAAGAGACCTCAAGATCATTGAGTCCAACCTCTGACCTAACACTAACAAGTCCTCCGCTAAACCATATAGCTAAGCTCAACATCTAAACGTCTTTTAAAGACCTCCAGGGATGGTGACTCCACCACTTCCCTGGGCAGCCTGTTCCAATGTCTAACAACCCTTTCAGTAAAGTTCTTCCTAACATCCAACCTAAAACACCCCTGGCGCAACTTTAGCCCATTCCCCCTCGTCCTGTCACCAGGCACATGGGAGAATAGACCAACCCCCACCTTGCTACAGCCTCCTTTAATGTACTTATAAAGAGCGATAAGGTCGCCCCTGAGCCTCCTTTTCTCCAGGCTGAACAAACCCAGCTCCCTCCACTGCTCCTCAGAGAACTTGTTCTCCAGACCCCTCACCAGCTTCATTGCCTTTCTCTGGACTCACTTGAGCACCTTGATGTCCTTCTTCTGGCAAGGGGCCCAAAACTGAACACAGTACTCGAGGTGCAGCCTCACCAGAGCCGAGTACAGGGGGACGATCACTTCCCTAGACCTGCTGGCCACACTGCTTCTTATACAAGCCAGGATGCTGTTGGCCTTCTTGGCCACCTGAGCACACTGCTGGCTCATATTCAGCCAACTATTGACCAATACTCCCAGTTCATTCTCCACCATGCAGCTTTCCAACCACTCATCTCCCAGCCTGTAGCTCTGCTTGGGGTTATTGCACCCCAGGTTCAGGACCCGAATGCATAAAGGTATACCTATTCACTATAGCCCCTGCTAAATCCAAGGCCTCAGTTTTGCATACTTGCATATTGTTTGGCATACTGCAAGAGTGTTACTGTTCCTCAGCAGTTAAATTCCTATTTTATTGCACAGTAATGTTTTTGCTTCATTACAATTTCATACGGTGTTATGGCTACCCCATTTTAAAATGTTAGCATTTTACATGACAAATACGTGCCCTTACAGTTTACCTGCAATTATTTTATTTCTTTGTGATCATAATTATTCCAATCTAGTTTACTCAATGCTCTAATTTCATGCTCATCATTTTGCTATTGTTGAAAGCTAATAGCATGATCACTACTCTGTTGTAAATAGGAAAAGACATACTAGATATCCTAGTCTATAATAGAAAACAGATTGACAGCCATAGTTAATGCATTGCATTCGAAAATAATCCTTCCTGGGTTTGTTTTTTCTACTGGTTTCCACATGTTTGATGATGATTTCAGTTTAGAGCAGTGGCTCTGGTTCATAAGTACTCACCAAATATCTTTTGCGGCTTACAGTTCTTTTTATTGGCTGTTTACATTGAATGTGAATTCCAGGTAAAAATACTATTCTTTTGCAGGAATGAAAGAGAAGTGGTACTTAGGTCACACAACAATTTCCATTCCTTCGTTGGATATCCAGGGACATGATCATACACAGACTGACTTTGATGTAGTGAGGAGAAAAGCAGTCTGGTCCCCATCAGCCTCTTTGCCTTTGATATGGTGGTCTCTATTGGTCTGATATGGTGGTTGCTGGCAAGAGATCACCTTGCTCATCTATAATAAATCATGCTTTTTTCAACAAAGTGATCAGGTTCAACCCATGGCTGGAAAATATCTGTATCTGATGTAATTAAAATAGTGGGTGAGTCTAGTCAAGGGAGGAGTAAGAACCAAGTACCTGCAGTTAGACAAGATTTGTAATAATCAACTATACCACTAAGTCACAGTAATATTATTAACATTATTCATAGATTTAAAGGTAACTGAGTAGCTGCTCCTAAATCCTTGAATAGGAGACTGAGAAAAAGAGAAATAATTAATAACAAGTGACTACTATAATTCATTTGATTGTAATGGTGGTTTCCAGAAAGCAATCCGAAGTCCAAGTCTATCCCAATTGTACAATTGAAGTCCAAGTCTATCAGTTGTGATTGTATTCATTGCTTTTCTGAGTTTGTTTTTTAGTTAATCCAAAGAAATTTTTTTGAAAACAAATTTTTATTTTTTTTAATTTAATTTTATTTTTTTACTTTTTTTTTTTTAAAAAACTAATTTTTAGTTAATCCAAAGAAAATCAGCTCAGATGAAAATGAATTGAGTGATGAGAGTTTGGAGGAGCCCTGTATGAAGTAATGTAGGTAAACCTAAAATATATCACATATATCACATCTGTAAATCTTTGTAAGAAGCATGTCAGAAAAAGCTGCCTTAGAGCCTCTAAATAAAGAAAAAAGCAGAAATCTGGCACATGTAAAGAACTGGAAAATGTAGCAGAGACTTGGGATTTTCATTTACCATATGTTCATGCCTAGTAGAGAAGTACAGCAAAGTGTTTATGCCCTATTAGCCATGTTTTTTATGAGCAATTCCTTTCTTGGAATCTTTTCCATTTCATTGTGTTTTCAGCTTTGTACATTGTTTAAGAAAAATGGTGAGGACATTTTCCTCCCACTGATTGCTTGTCTCTTTTCTTAACAGAAACAAATTCAGACAACTACAGAGCAAATAAGAATTAGGTCACTTAAATATTTGACTTTCCACTCTGACTACAGATGGTTTCAGGTCTTGTGGCCACAAAAATAGTTTAAAGTTTACAGCCAGAGAGTAGATCAAAAAAGGCCTTGCTTTTAAGAAGCTCATATACAGCCACTTCTCCTGTGTAATTTTAGTAGGTTTGTGAAAAGTATTCTATCCTCAGACTAGCAAAGGGGGATGGAAATCTAGCAAAACTATCCTGTATGTTCAATGCAATGCTTTGAGGCAAAAAGGAAATAAAGATTAGTCGTGTTATGAATCCCAGATGTGAATCTGCCTTTAACCTTTGTCCAAAATTCACTGTTGAACTAAAGGTATTGCTTCTGGGTAATATTAGGCTCTCATTTGTCCTCAGAATATCCCTGTACTGTTCTTCTAGGAAAGGCTCCAAGCCTGCCCTGGTAACTCCTTCCCTCCCTGGTTTTCCCACACATTTTTTTGAACTTTTTTTTTTTCTGATATTTTTTCCCCTCCCCATTATTATTTTATTTTTGTTTGTGTTTTTTGTGGTGCATACATAGATTTTCTTTCCCCTGTTGTAAGCCTAATTAAATCTAATTGCTTTGCCTGTGTAGCCTTCTATAAAGCTTTGTCTGCATCATCCCATTTGGGTTAAACCAAATGTTAACTAGGTATGCATATCTTGCTGAAAGCATGTTAAATGAGATAGAGCCTAGGATATATAAAGTAAGCATGTCTGTAGCACATCCAGATTAATAGTGCATAATTAGAAATAAAATGGAATGCCATAGCTTCTCTGTTAAACCTCCCTTCTGCTTTGAATTTTAAATACAAGCAAATATTTGACAATTTTGATTTTTAATTTTATTTTCTTAATTCACATGTGGGGACTTCTCTAGGTTTATGAAGTAAGAGGGGTACTGCATGATGAAGTGGGAGTTTGAGGTGAGATTTAAGGGACTGCAAGCACTGTGGAAGGATCAGAGCTCAGTAAATGTTGCAGGACTCAGCAAGCTCCACGAGAGCTGCACCCTTGATGAATCATTTTACTCTCCAGCTGGTGAAAGGCTTATTCTCAAGTCAAGTGTTCACCAACCATTTGGGGCCCTACTGAACTCAGAAACTCAATGAATACCAATGGTGGTATTAATATTTATTTCTAATAACTTTTCACTATATCTTAACATAAAAAGTATACAGCTTAAACTAGTATTGATGTTCTTGGTTGGATGCTTTGCAGAAATGAGATGTGAAGTTTGTACTAGGTATTCGTATCGTGAGAACCCCCATGATCATGCTATCAGGAGCAAGGGGTGGTGTGTGCAAAAGGTATGTGTTCAGATTTTTCCTATATGCACCTGCAGAAGCAAGGGATGGAATTTCAATGGGTATAAACTGGGTTTGGGTTGATGTAAACCCCAACAATCAGGTTTGCAGGGGCAAGGGGAAGAATTTGGGATATGTAGTAAATTCAGGCAGTTGGATATGTTAATTCCTATAGTCTGGTCCTTGGGGGTGAGCAGTGGAGTTTATAAAGAAAATACAATACCATAATTTTAACAGAGAGTTTAAAATTAATTTATAATAGCAGGGACACCTCCAGGCAGACAGAGGACCCCAGGACAGAGGGCAGGGGTGCCCATGAAGTGACCATGGATGACCCATGCTGCAGCAGAGGAAGGAGATGAGTGTGGCAGGAAGGAAGTGTTAAACATGCAACTCCAACCTCCAGAGCTGTCCAACACCTCACCAGAGGAACTGGGAGGGACAGAGTATGACTTGATGTGAGAATTACTTGATGTGAGAAGCTGGTACAAGGAACAGAAGAGAGGTGTTTGGTTTAAGTTGAGCTTAGAGGTGGCAGGATTCTTTAGTAAAGTATTTGCACATTAATTATGCAGATTACTGAACAAAAGTTGGTGTTGATTGACAATAAACTGAATGAAATTAAAACTCCCTGTATTGAGACACTTTTCATGTGACTTTGCTGAAAGACCAGGTAAAACAAAAGAATAATCAAGGCTCACAAGCAACTGAGTAGGAGGACCCTGGCTATCCAGGGGATCTGGGGTCCAAACTGAAGAGTTAATAGGGAACTTGAACCAAGGATATTTACTGGGTTAATTGCTTTGTCTATACTATACATTCCTTGGCCAAATAGTCAAGAAAAGCAGTCTGTGACGTTCATGTAACACTTATGTTTACATGACTAGATGCACGTATTTGCAGACACCTAATACAGTCACCTTTTGGATCAGTGTAGGCCAGACAAATAACATCTTTATCATTTGTTTGGAGATGGAGTGTTTAGGTCATTGCGGAGTGGGGATATGGCAGGTGATGTCAGTGCAGTATTTCCTCCATTGGTTGCTATTTCAATGGTGTTATATGTTTGAGGTAATACCTCAAAAGATATATGACTTTCATCTGACTGACTTTTCAAACATCCAATCAATGTATTTTGTAGTACTCTGCTGGTAGTTTAATTTTTGACT